ACTAATATTTAAAATTTGTTCCATTATTCTATGAAGAGCTATGTAGTGAGCGGAGCACTAAGTTGATATGCTCTTGGTAACTTCTGTTGCTAAAGTGGGGAGCTCTGGCATTCTGGAGTAAAGCATTTTTTAAATGTTGAAACGTTTGTACCTAGTGAGTTGCAATAGCTCAGGCTAGAGTTAGTCTGATTTTTTGAGAATTATATTTTAAAAGCATGTGTCTTGCAGTACAAGTTTCCTACAAATGCAAGGAATTGGCACATGACCAGATACATCTGTAGGTTACTACTTATAACTGAGAGATGAATAAATATTATTGACACTGGTTTCTTTTAGCTGGATTATGATTTCCTCTAAGAGGTTTTCTTTATACAGTAAAATGACACATTTTTGTGAGTATTACCAAATCATCTTGATAACTGTCATATCCAAAAAGACACTTCCTATAACTAGAATATTTATCTTAAAGGAGCATTAAGCTATCTCTCCATGTGCTTGTCTTAAGGAATAAGTTTAAAAGTATAATTTCAGTTACAGTTTCAAGTGTAGCAGGAATTAATATAATTCTAGAAGCATTGTCTTACAGTATTATCTTAAGGGAGTCTTCTTTCATTACTTCAGTCCTGTCAGTCACTCATTTATTATTTTAACATTTAGGAATGTCAAGTCAGATAAATTTATGATTAAATTCCTTGTGAGTGGTAACTTCCAGTTTGTAGTATTGATTGCTAGCTTCCACGTTTACTAGTTAGAAGCTGTCTTGTGAAGTTAGCTCATGAAAATATAAAGCTACACTGCTTTACACAAAATCTCTTTATCATATGCCCTGCACACCGTCCTACGCTTGCTAAATTCTAGCAAACTAAGCCCTGCCCCAAGTTTACAGCTCAAGCCCCTTCCTTTTCTTCACCATCCACTGACAGCTAATTCCATCCTAGCCATGTCCCTCTACAATCACACATGGCTCCACCTGTTCCTAAATTGTACCTCCCTTTTCCCTTCCCTATGGTCTTGGGGGGGGGAGGGGGAACTGTAGCAGAAGGGAACTATCCAGAGCCTCCAGCCACTAGGAGCAACTGAAAAGCAGACAAAGGTGGGGCTTTTGGACATTCAGTGAACTTTTTACTTTTGCCTGGACTTTCTCTGCCCTTTACTGATCAGCTGTTTTTTCCAACCTTCTGTCTCCTTCAGTCTTTTAATCTCAGCTTTTCTCCATGCCTGCCCTTCTTACTTTCTTCTCCTATACTCCTGTCCCCCTCAATATCCCTTCTATCTTTGCTTTTCTTTGCATTTAGCTGATCCCCTCTTAGTACCCTCCTCCCGTGCTGTGATTCCCTGAATTGAACTCCTTTCCTTGTAGTCCATTTTAAGTATGGTTTTGCTCCTTTTAATTGTTTACTACTTAAACGTTATTCTTATTACTCTTATACTCTTCCACTTCATCATTTACCTTTGTTATCATTGTGCAGATGCATATCACTGTGCTATTTAATTTATATTTTAATACTTATTGAAAATATTTATAAGTAAATAGTTGCTAGTAATCTTAGCAATGACATCTGTTTCTCTCATATACCACTTGCTATGTTTTTACTGTGATTTTTAATTTGGAATTTTTAATTCTAACTTTTTATTTTTATGGCACAAGTTTATTGTGGTGGATCGGTTGGATTCTGAAGTCTGTGTGACTTCCAGTTTGACTGATTTCCTGGCCTAGTGTCAAAACTTTGTTTTCATTTGATCCACCAGTGGTGATTGCCTTTTGCAACTGTTATTTTGCCTCTCAATCCAGCCCTTAGTGCTTTTTCTCATGTCACTTTTTGTGTGTAGAACTTGATTCTCAAGTATTCAATAAGGGCAGTACACTGTCTCATAGTAAATCCTTCTCAAAGGCAAAAATCTACTGTAATTTTTGCTGAACATAAGAACAGCTACAGTGGGTCAGAACAATGGTCCATCTAGCCCCGTGTCCTGTCTTCTGACAGTGGCCAATGCCAGGTGCATCAGAGGGAATGAACAGAACAGACAATCATTGAGTAATCTATCCCCTGTTGTCCACTCCCAGCATTTGGCAGTCAGAGGTTTAGGGACACCCAGAACATTGGGTTGCATCCCTGATCATCTTGGCTAATAGCCATTGATGGACCTATTCTGAGGGACTTATCTAATTCTCTTTTTAACCCAATTATAGTTTTGGCCTTCACAACATTATGAATACACGTCTACTACTCCAACATAGCTTGACAACCACAAGAATTCAAAAATCATGAGTTATACATCCTCAAGTCATGACATCTTTTCAAAAATAAATGATATTGGGTTCTTTTTATGTGCTTCTTTCTTCCTGAGCCTTTAGGGTATAGTAGGCTTAATTCCACAAAAGCAGGAGCCTAAACACCGGAAAGAATCTTGGCCTAGACTCATACTTTTCCTGTTACCTCTCCCCCACATTTCATATACCTGAGGCCATATCTACACTACTAACTTAGGTTAACTCAAGTTACATCAGCATAGAGTCACCACAGTTAGTATGTCACTTGTGTGCATGCCTACTTGATTCCTTTTCTGCGGTGAGTGTACTTACCAGAAGTGCTTGTATCGATTCACAGTGTGGTGCACCATGGATAGGTATCCCACTGTGCAACTCCTCACCGTCCACTGCACTGTATTTTGGGAAGTTTTGGCAACGCATGCTGCAGCCCAAATGGGTCATACAGGAGTGACTGTGATCATGGGATCAACTTTCCATAATGCAATGTTCACCATCCCCTAATTTTATACATATTGCATATGTAAAATTATAATTTTGCCCCTTTTTTCCTAACTCCCACAAACCCCCGTGGCCCTCCTCATTTTCAGCCATCTCTGCCAGAAGCATGGAGCCTGCACAGCTCTGCGTTATTGTCATGAACATGTGCACCCTGGGCTTGCAAATCTTGCAGTATTTGCAGAACTGCAAGAAAAGAAGGGAGTTGATTCCATGCAGAACAAATTGCTGTGGGACATAGCAACACCAATTCAAACTTGTTGGTGGCATCCTAGAGCAGCTACAGGTGGTGGAGTGCCAGTTCTGGCCCCGAGAAACAAGCTCCAACTGATGGGATCGCATCATAATGCAGGTTTGGGATTATGAGCAGTGGGTGCTGCAGAACTTTTGGATGTGTGTGCCGAACTGACCCAAATGAGGGCTGAACTGACCATAGAGATTGCACTGTGGAAACTTGCAACACCAGATTGCTACCAGTCAGTCAGAGGTGTCTCAACCAGGTTTGCCAACTTTCTACTCTCATAAAACTGAACACCCTTACCCTGCCCCTCATCTGAGCCCCCCCTCCATTCCGCCTCTCTCTGTTGCTTGCTCTCCACACCCTCAATTGCTCATTTTCACCAGGCTGGGGCAGAGGGTTGGGGTGCGGGCTCTGGTGTGGTGCCCGGGATGGAGATTTGGGGCACAGGAGGAGGCTCCAGGCTGGGGCTGAGGAGTTCAGAGAGTGGGAGGGGGCTCTGGCTGAGGGTGCGGTCTCTAGTCTGGGGATGAGGGATTTGGGGTGCAGGAGGATGCTCTGGGCTGGAATCGAAGGGTTCAGTGAGCAGAAGGGGGTTGGGGCTGGGTCAGGGGGTTGGGGTGCAGGGGGGGTGAGGGCTCTGGCTGGGGGGTGCAGGCTCTCATGTGGGTCTGGGGATGAGGGATTTGGGGTGCAGGAGGGTGCTCCAGGCTAGAATCAAAGGATTCAGTGAGTGGGAGGGGGATCAGGGCTGGGTCAGGGGGTTGGGGCACGGGGGGGGGGGTGAGGGCTCCGGCTGGGGGTGTAGGCTCTCATGTGGGGATGAGGGATTTGGGGTGCAGGAGGGGGGTCTAGGCTGGGGATGAGGGGTTCAGAGTGCAGGAGGGGGCTCAGTGCAGGAGGGTGGGGTGTGAGGGCTCTGGCTGGGGGTGCAGACTCTGGTGTGGAGCCGAGGATGAGGGATTTGGAATGTAGGAGGGTGGTCCAGAGTGGGACCGAGGGGTTCAGAGGGTAGGAGGGGGATCAGGGCTGGGGTTGGGGCATGGGAGAGGGTCAGGGGTGCAGCGCTTACCTCAAGCAGCTCCCAGAATTAGCAGCATGTCCCCTCTCCAACTCCTACACGGAGGCATGACCAGGTGGCTCTACACGCTGCCCCATCTGTAGGCACCGCCCCCACAGCTCCCATTGGCAGTGGTTCCCGGCCAATGGGAGCTGTGGAAATGGCGTTTGGGGCAGGGGAAGTGTGCAGAGCTCCCTGGCTGCCCCTACATGTAGAAGTTGGAGAAATGACATGCCACTGTTTCTGGGAGCCACGCGGAGCCACGGTCGGTAGGGAGCCTGCCTTAGCCCCACTGCGCCACCGACCAGACTTTTAATGGCCTGATCAGCAGTGCTGACCAGAGCTGCCAGAGTCCCTTTTCGACCAGGCGTTCCAGTTGAAAACCGGACATCTGGCAACCCTATTCTCAACTAAATACAAAGTGGGATAGATTTCTTTATTATAAGTATTTAACACACATTGTAAAAGACCATTCCCTGTTCTGTGGCCTGTTAGCACCTCTCCAGTCATAGGACAACAAAGCAACCGTAGTGGGTTACAGACTGTTGTCTCTTACAACTTTCTTAAGTTATCATAGCAATTTTTATGAGTTGATGATTGTGATAGCCCCAAACACGTGAGGACACATTCTTATAGGCTGCAAGAAAGATGTTTTCAACTCACATAACTCTGTGATATTGTGTGTCTACACATGTGCAGAGCGCAGAGCTATCAGTACCGCAGAAACAACCAGAAATAGGATGTGGTAGTTATTAGACATGCTTTTTTTTTTGGTATTTGCATAGACAGTTTTTGTTGTGGGCAATCTATCTGGCAGGTCATTCCCTGTTTATTCACTTAATAGCTGAGTCAATCAGGTTTCATGGGGTTGGAAATGTTATAAATAGATCATCTTAACACAGCCATATCACATTAGTGGCTCTTCTTCCCTGCAGGAGCAACCATGTGTCTTGAAAGAGGATGAAAGAGCTGCCAGAGTCATCCCAGAGAATATCATCCTGGATAACCATCCGGATCTGGGCCTGCTATGAGCAGGCAAAGGTCCTGCCTACAGCCATCATGAGAGCCCACTCTAGAAGAGCCCAGGCTTCATCAGCAGCATTCCTCATGCAGATACCAATCCAGGACATCTGCAGGACTGTGACATGGTTGTCAATTCATGCCTCACTATGCCATACCCAACAGGCCCATAACGATCCCAGTTTCAGTAGAGCAGTGTTGCAATCAGCACATCTGTGAAATTTGAGCCCACGTCTGGGGATACTGCTTCTGAGTCACCTAGCATGGAATCGACGTGAGCAAGCACTCTAAGAAGATAAAACAGTTACTAACCTTTTGTAACTGTTGTTCTTCAAGATGTGTTGTTCATGTCCATTCCAGGACCCACCCTCCTACTCCTCTGTCGGAGTCACCAGCAAGAAAGAACTGAGAGGGTATGAGGCCGAGGGTGCCCCTTATACCAGCATATAGTGCAGGGCTCCAAGGGGCGTGCTGGCCGGCCCTATGGATACCTCTAAGGGAAAAAAAATCTCTGGCAACTGTGCTCGTGGTGCACGCATACATGGAATGGATGCGAGCAACAGATCTTGAAGAACAAGAGTTATGAAAGGTTAGTAGCCATTTTCTTTGCTATGCAGTTCAGTGGGGCCACGACTTCAACACCAATATGTGCACTGGTTAGTCAGTTTTTAAAGTAAGTAGGAAAGAGCACATGGGGTCTTAAAAAGAAAAGGGTGGTAATCCATCTTACATAACTTATTTGTAACAGTAAGGATCCCTTCCATGTATGTATTTATGAACTACATTACATTCTTTGTGTGCCACAATGATTAATACATTAAAAACTTGCTTAAATGTCAACAGGTACAAGCCATCTCATCAGTAGTTTCCATTAGTGTTCTGTCAGGCAGAGCAAGGCTAATGAAACTGAAGAAATGTTATGTTTCAGTGCCCATGCTTTCATGCCCAACATGGGTAAAGCACATTTTCATAAAGGTAGATAAGCACAGACTTAAGAAACAGCAAATACAATGCTAAATTGGGGAATGAGTGATAGTAACAATGTAACTGAAATTGAGAAATACAGTATAATTTACAATGCATGGTTTGCTTCATTGGCAAGTATAACTGCATTCTTAATTCTTTTTTCAATGAACACAGAGTGGAATTATGCAAAGTGATATATTTTTGCTTCCTTTCAACGCACCAACTCATCGGGTTATTGTGGTAAGATGTTTTCCATGGTTATACTTTGGGATTCTATGCACTAAATGTAGTACTACATAACAGGTTTCAAATACAGCTGTATAGCAGTGTTATAATTTTTATTATGGGTTTTCGATACAGTTTAATACATACAAATGAAAATGGAACTTCAGTGTAAGTCTTGAAATTCTGAGGATTGAAGTTTAAAAAATAAAATGCTAGTGTGAAGTGTTATGTTGGTGATGTAAAATTAAAGAATATAGTCTGTAGTGTTTTAATCAAGGAATTCACAATATGATTTTATCTTGTGTGTTAGTGAAACATAATAAATGAGAATATCTGCACGCAATGTTTTGAAAAATCATAATAAAATTGTTGAAATTATATTACCAATAACATATGCATATGTATTTACACTTAGAGATAACATTAATGGAAACAAAAGAATTGTTAATAATTAATCCCTTGTGAGATGAGGCAACATAAGAAAGAGCCTCCCTGAGGAACTGGAGGTGATTTTTTAGATACTTATTTTCATAGTTTACATGTAGTGTTAGTGTGAAACTATTTTCAGTAAATGTAACATAACTGAGGATAATATCTTCCTGATATTAAAAAAGAAAAATGGAAACAGCACATACCTGTACTCACTGTGCTTAATAATGGACATTGAGTGAACTTGTGTGATTTGAGCATGGTTAACTGCTTCACTGAGTGTGGGCGCAAAACACTAGCATCTAGCATGAGTGAGAAGATATTATTAGCAACCCGGGCCATAGCAAATCAATATATAACATAAGTCTCTGATATGATCATATGAAACTAAGTGTATATATATGAGCATTAAAACACTGCAACCATTCAGTAAATAGGGGGTGCAGGCTCTGAGGTGGGGCCAGGGATGAGAGGTTTGGGGTGCAGCAGGGGGCTCCGGGTTTGGGGGGGACTCAGGGCTGGGTTGGTGCTTGGGGTTGGGGCGCAAGCTTACCTTGAGTGGCTTCTGGTCAGCAGCAAGCAGGGCTAAGGCAGGCTCCCTGCCTGTCCTGGCTCCACGCTGCATCCCAGAAGCAGCCAGCAGGTCCGGCTCCTCGGCAGGGGGTCAGGAGGTTCCATGTGCTGCTCTCGCCCGCAGGCACCGCCCCCCTAGCTCCCACTGGCCATGGTTCCTGGCCAATGGGAGTGCGGAGCCAGTGCTCAGGGGTGGGGGCAGCACACGGAACTCCGTGGCCACCCCCCTCTGCCTAGGAGCTGGCCGCTTCCAGGGCGCAGTGCAGAGCCAGGACAGGCAGGGAGTAGCCTGCCTTAGCCCCACAGCACCGCTGACTGGACTTTTAACGGCCCAGTCGGCAGTGCTGATCGGAGCCACCAGAGTCTCTTTTCGACTGGGCATTCCAGTCAAAAACCAGATGCCTGCCAAGCTCCGGGGCTGGGGGCGCTAGCCTGGGGCCGGGGCTGGCGGCTGTGGTGGAGGTTAGGCGGGGCCTCAGGTGGAAGGGGTGGGGCGGGGGGCTAGCTTCCCCCAGTCAGTGGTTCATGTGCTGCCCATTATTTTAATGTACATTTCAGTAAAGAATGAAGTGTTAACACTCTAAATATGTTCAGATGCTTGTTTTTGAAAAAAAACATTGAAAGGTAGAGTAAGCTCTTCTTGATTATTGTAACAAGGTATATAAACAAGTTTTTAAACTTTTAAAATACCTCTCTTTATTTGTGTCCACATTGACAATAAGAAAAGGAGGACTTGTGGCACTTTAGAGACTAACCAATTTATTTGAGCATAAGCTTTCGTGAGTTACAGTTCACTTCATCCGATGCATACTGTGGAAAGTACAGAAGATCTTTTTATACACACAAATGGGTGTTTACCACTATATGGTTTGTGTGTATAAAAAGATCTTCTACACTTTCCACAGTATGCATCCAATGAAGTGAGCTGTAGCTCACGAAAGCTTATGCTCAAATAAATTGGTTAGTCTCTAAGGTGCCACAAGTCCTCCTTTTCTTTTTGCGAATACAGACTAACACGGCTGCTACTCTGAAACAACACGTTGACAATGGAGATTTCAAAACAGTAGCAAATTGTAAAGAGCAAAAACTGGCCATCATGGTTTGCGACCTCTCACCTTTGTCATCTTCTGGGCCAGGGCCAGCTAGCTTGTGACAGACGCTTGGTGCCCTGTCAGTATTTGCTACCCGGGGACTCATGAGAAAGGGCGAGGTAGCAAACAGTGACACCGCACCTGATGCCTCAATAAATGCTGCGGGTAGCAAAACCTGCCCCCTACTTAGCCCTTTTTAACGCTAGCCTGGCCCTGACGCGGGCCATTGTGATTGGTCAGTTTGAACGTCAGCTCAGCGGCCCATGCAACAACAGGGAGCCAACGGCCGCCCTTACCCTTCCCGAGCGCCCCGCTCGCCAGACAAGGAGGAGTCAGGCCAGGCGTCGCCGCCGCCCGCCAGCAGGTGGCGCTGCGGCTTCCCAGCGGCCGGCCAAGGGGTCCCTCTCTGGCCGCAGGCGGAGCTAGGACGAGCCACTTCCCTCCCGTGCGGAGCGCTAGAGGAGCTGGGCGGGGCGCCCCCTCCTCCGCCCCTTCCTGGCCGCGGAGGCTCCCAGCTCCTTGCCCGCCACCATGGCGATCCGCAAGAAGAGCAGCAAGAACCCGCCCGTGCTGAGCCACGAGTTCATCGTGCAGAACCACGCGGACATCGTCTCCTGCGTGGCCATGGTCTTCCTGCTGGGGCTCATGTTCGAGGTGAGCCGCCCTGGGAGCCCGCGGCTGCCCGCACGCCCCGGGCAGGCTGAGCGGGCTGCGCACGGCCCGGGGCGGGGGAGGTGCCCGCCCCGAGTGCCCTGACCTGCAGAGAGGGGCCTTGCGTGGCCCGGAGCTGGGGGGTGCAGGGAGCGCTACTCTCAGGGTGGATGTGTGTGTAGCTGATACGCTGAGCTGGCCCAGCCGGGCGGGGTTTGGGCTGCTCGGGCTCCTCCTCCCTCTGTGCCCCGGGGGGGGTCGTGATACCGAGCTCACCTCACCACCACCACCACCCCCCATACCTGGGGGCTCCTGGCGCCGTGTGTATCCCCTGCTCGGCGCTCTGCCTGCCCCGCTCGCCGGCGGGGTTCACCCGAGCGGGCTGCTGGGGGAGCTGCCGCTGCCGGCCGACACGTTGCAGGAGGGGCGTGTTGGGGAGGGAGCTGTTGGAGCTGGGCCGTGCTCCGTTCCCTGGGACAGCGCCCGCAAGTCTCTTTCTCTCCCTCCCCCACCCCCCCGGCCCTCTTGTGCGGGCCCCGGGTTAGGTTCTAGGGGCGGTGTAACGATTGCTGCTGCTGCTGCTTCCCCTCTGTGCAGCAGCAACCGCAAGCGCCCTGCGGTTCCGGCAGCCCTCGGCGAGGTTACGTGGCAGTCGGAGCGGGGCGGGGGACGGAGCGCCTGGCTCGTAGTTTTGAGGGAGGCGGAGCGGCGGCTGGGGCCCAGCGAGGCTGCCGTGTGTAAGCAGCGGGGATGTGGGGGGCGTAAGGCCTTGCCGGGGAGCGCGTTTCCTGCCCTCTGTGCGGTGGCTGGAGCCGGGCAGCAAGGGAAGCCCCATGGGGTGGGGCGGCGGCGGCTGTGCCCCCAGCGAGCTCCCGGGAAAGGGGAGCGAGCAGTGACGTGTCCCGGCTGCCCCTTCCCCTGGGTGACCGCGGTTGCCGCCCCTGTCCTGAGCAGCTGCTCACTCGCTGCGTGATTCACACCCCCTGCCGCAAACACGTGTGGGAAACAACAGCAGCACTAGGCGGGGAGCCGCACAAACAGGAGTCAGAGTAACAGCCGTGTTAGTCTGTATTCGCAAAAAGAAAAGGAGTACTTGTGGCACCTTAGAGACACACAGAGGTGCGCTTTGCATCTCCAGGCAGCAGCCGAAGGTGGAGACAGCTGCTGGTGGGCAGGTGCGTTCCATTTTCCTGCCCTTGCAGTTCAGTGACTTAGGTGTCTTGCTTGGGTAGTAATTATTGGGAAGATGGATGACCTTGCCATGCAAAATCAGTTTGGGTTAGTGAAGATTTAGCATCCCACTCCTGAGTATCCACTAAGCTTTAAAGGTGCATCTGTCTGCTTTCAGGCTCATAACTGAGTTCTTATGACAACTGGCCAGAAAAGTGGCAATATGCTGCTGCCTGGGACAACAAAAAATATGTTTGGGATAACTGAAATCTAGGTATTTTTTAGCTGCTTCTGAGACAATGGTTAAAAGTCAGAGTACACTTACTGACTAACCCATCTGATCAAGTTGAAAATTAAAACTAGTCTAGTTTTCTATATTTTCTGTTAAAAGTCACTGAAGTGAAAAAGAAATGGCAAATTTGTCTATTGGATCTCCTATTTTACAAAATGTCTCTCTTCCTCTCTTCAGTTGCTTATTGAGATAATGCACAAAAACTGGTAATATACATACTCCCTTCAGAATAGCACTCACTTATTTTGAGCCAAGATAAGAGTCTCAATTTGATGAGCTAGTAGTCCGTCAGTGTTACCATGATTCTTAAGAGCATAATCAGTCCCTTATTCATTTGGTGAGTAGCCTGAAGATTTATAAGCATTTTTTTTATATGACTAGTTTTTGATATCCATTTTTTCCAACTTTAAGTAATAGTATCCGAAGGCAGCAGATTATCAACATAGGTTGGAGAGTAGGGGTTTAAAAGAAATACATAACTCTCCTATGCTATGCTAAGACTTGCCTCTGAAAGCCAGATATATCTATCTTCCCAGATAGTTTTGGTTGTGAAGACCGTCTATACACTGTTTTTGTGGGGAGAGGAAGAAGGATGGATTTGAATTTTTTCCTTTTTATGTACACTGTGTGATTCACTGTTTTCAAAAACAAAGTGCTAATATCTTATTGTTTGTTGTAGTAACTGATCTTGCTAATGCTGAAAAGATTTTTGTGTACTGGAGTGTAAGTTTTTAATTTATGTTCAGTCTTTCCCACTACATGCTATTCTGTACCTACAAAGACCTTCTTTAGTAGTTGCTTTTACTATGAAACTTTTAAGGCTCTGCCGATCTTTATTCTTTGTGTTAGTTCGGTATCAACAGAAGTGGTGCACCGTGGATTGTACTTCATGTCAATATGTATTCCGTGACATGAAAGCTGTAAAAACATTGTAGAGCCCTAGAAGCAAAGGACAAAATAAAAAATGACTAGGTGGCCACTGGAAATTATTTTTTGTACAGGAAATGGGATTTTATGGTCTTTAGATATTTTGACCTTTAGTAAATACTTTTCCAAACATTAGAAGTAGATGTTGCATAGATGATGTAAGCTGGATAGGGGTGATAATGGGTGATGGACGGTACGGCACTAGAGAAGTAGTTGGATTCTTTAAACCCTTCAGTTCCAGATATTCTGAACTTGAT